TTCCCCAAACTCTTATTTATTTATTTATTTCCTCCTCCCAAATTCACTAGATACCAAGAATAAATGGAAAATACTTAGTGGGATATGCCTAGCACCAAGTTTAGATCAGGTGAGGGTTAACAGTAGGAGGGGTAGTCAGAGCCCTAATAAAGTTCCAAAAACTGGGACCTTCTAGTTGCCTGAAATCTGCCTTTCTGCCTCTTCCATAGCATTCCATTTTTCTCTCATAACAGTTATTAAGGTATCTAAATGAAAGAGGAAAAATAATTCATGTTGATAGGAGCCTGTCCCTCCCCCACTTTCTATTGTCTAAAACCAGCCTTCAGCTGTTCCTGAATTTCTCTAAGTGACATCAGTCCATCAGAGTGTTCCTCCCCATAGGAAGTCAATTTTAGGGAGGTGGAGGATTGAACAGGGCCATATTGGGATGGAGGGGTGGAGCTAGAGCCCTCAAGATAAAACCTCAGTTCTAGGGATGACCAGTCGCCCAGACAGAAGACCCTTAGCGTTTGTTCCAGTCCCCAACGACTCATAACTAACCCCAATGATGGAGGCCATCAAGAAAAAGATGCAAATGCTGAAGCTGGACAAGGAGAATGCCTTGGACCGGGCAGAGCAGGCTGAGGCTGAACAGAAGCAGGCAGAGGACCGAAGCAAGCAGGTGTGTGCTGCAATTTGTTTTTAACATCTACATGGGGCTAAGGGATATGGGAAGAGGATGAATAAGAAAGGAAGGTGACAGATAGAAAGGACAAATGTCTCTTTCTGGGAGAAATAGCCTTTTCCTGTGGTCCTAGCAGGGGCAATATTGGCCAGTGTTAAAGAGCTCCAGGTTGGGAAGAAGGCTATCTGAGTTGTTTGTCCTGGCTGCCTATGACCTCGAACAAGGTACTGAAACTTGCTGAGCCTCTGTTTATCCATTAATAATAATGTTAGTAGGGGCAGCTAGGTGTCGCAGTGGATAAAACTCCAGCCTTGGAATCAGGAGGACCTGAGTTCAAATACAGCCTCAGACACTTGACACTTACTAGCTGTGTGACCTTGGGCAAGTCACTTAACCCCAACTGCCTCACCAAAACAAAACAAAAAAATAATAATGATGATAGTAGTAGTAGTAGTAGTAATAGTAGCAATTATGTGGTACCTGCTATGTGCTAGTCACTGTGGTAAAATAGATGATCACTTTCCTGAAGAGTCCATCTGACTCTGGAAGCAGGGATAGGACACTAACATTCAGCACCTCAATGCCCTCATCAGTCCTTTAACACAAACCCCATCGAGATACCCTGGAATCTTTGGCCCTCAAGTCTCTGAAGTCAAAAATTGAGGGCAGATTAGACATCTCAAGTATCGGGCTGGTAAGTACTGGGCTTCCCAAGGCCAAATGACAAGGACAGAGAATTGGGAACTGGTTGATAGGGGAGTTTCCCTGGAGCTACTAGTCCAGAGGCTGGACAAGGAATCTAATTAGGATCTAGGAACCCAGGGACAATTAAACTGTAATTGTGGTGTATGTATTGCTTTCTTGGGGTTCTCACAGTTGGAGGACGAGCTGGCAGCTATGCAGAAGAAGTTGAAGGGAACAGAGGATGAACTGGACAAGTATTCAGAAGCCCTGAAGGATGCCCAGGAGAAGCTGGAACTAGCAGAGAAGAAAGCAGCAGATGTAGGTATTAGGTAGATGGGGTAAATGGGGGAGAGTTTGCATAAACATACATGATGAACTACATTATGTACTGAACATAACTCACACGAACACTTGTGAGGACACTGAATACAAATAGTATTTTGTATTCTCAAAAATACTCACAAATTCATACTTGTGAACTCACATGAGTAAAACCATGTAATGAGATACATAGACATATATTTTCTTTCTCACGATGCTATCCTGACCAAGACACTTCCATTTCATTTTGTCTGTTCATCTATTTATCTATTTTCTTAGCCCTTCTGTAGAGCTGGTAACAGATTGTGTCTCGTCCCAAACCAAACTTCTGAGCCCTTTACCTCAGAGGGCTGCCTTTATATTCTGCTTGGTCTTATTTTCCTTTTAGGGTGGGGTGCTTACCTCCTGGGCCATCCAGTTCAATTAGTTGATCCTAATGCCTTGCAGGAGGCCACTCCCCACTCCTCCGAGCTGGGTAGAGGGAGGGAACTCTAAGCCCATCTAACATGACTCATTTCATCTCCTTCTGTCCCCACATCCTAAGCTCCTGGCTTTTGTAATGAGGGTCTGGCATGCAGATGTGTATTAATAGGACATATGTCATCTTCTTACCACCAAACCCAGCTTGGGTTTCACACTGGAACAAAGAAAGAGGTAATATTATCCCTGGTCCAGCATGGCCTCATTATATTCTGAACAATTTGGGCATTTGTGCTTATGCCACTGAAATGCCACAGGGGGCTGTACCAGAAGAAACATGGGTAATATCCAAGGTAAGTAATAGAGCAGGGACCAAGGGAGAAATTTAGGACACAAAAGTAGCATATAGTGTTGTTATGTCATTATCTTGCTATATAACCTCTAGCAGAATACTATCTCTGAACCTCAGTTTTCTCATTT